AGTCTACTGAGTCTTGGGTGGGAGTCACGAGAGATCGTCGTGCTTCGGCGTCGGCGAGGAAACCGAACATTAAATACGAGAGCAGGCCGCGTGGGTTCGAGGCTGCAGAAAGAAAAGTGCCTCCTGTTATAAAGGCTGCTTGTTGTAGGAATGTCGGCGTCCCGTATAGAGATAAGGTGTCCACTGGGATGCGCGCGTGAGAGGCTGCGAAGACAGCATTCATGGTAGGGATGTACTGCGCAGGCTCCGAGTCCGAGACAGACAAGACTAAAATGCGCGAGTGTAGCGTCGTGACGGTAGACTCGGTAGGCGAGGAGCTAGTAGCTGTTGACGTCGGGTTCGCAGGGTCCGAGGACGTCTTGGCCGGCTCTAGGGCATGAGACATCTTGTGGATGTAGGATAGTGCTAGCGTGAGGGCTCCCGATACTAGGGTCGTAGGGTTGAGGTCTGAGGGCGTAGTGCTGTCGATGAGGGAGCGCAAGGAGGTCAGGATAGAGGACTCGATTTGGGCGAATAAGGGGAACTTGTTGGCAGAGCCGCCTAGTTCTGTTGCTGCTGAGGCACCGTCCTGTCGCCCGTCAACGTCGGTCATTTCGACATCACCGTTAGATCGCGAAGACGCGGCGCGGAAATCGGGGTTGGGGGACTTGGGGTAGAGCCAGACGGCGCGGTTGGGGTGCGCGGCGAGTATAGCGACATGGTTGTCATTGCCGAAAGAGAGATGGGCGTTAACGAAGACGAGCAGGTTGGCTAGGGCCTTGGAGATGGGGAGGAGGTCGGCGAGGGCGGCCCAAGCACGCGGGTTGGTATCGACCACGATGGTAAGGAGCGAGGGTATTTGGCTGATGCTAGAGACGGGTTCTGTATAGTGATCAGAGGCGTCGATGCGGTTCATCGTGCCGTCTTTTCTGTTTCAACTTGTTGAGGGAGTGTTTATGACATGAGAAATGGAGAGAAAGGGCTCAGAGGCCACCTCCTTTGTAGAATTAGTTTTTCTCTCACTCGAGATTTTGCAATGCCAAGTTTAGTAGTATGAGTAGAAGAGGAGTTCACGGGTGATGCTGTTGCTCAAGACTCTAATTGGCAATGGTATGGAGAAGATGTAATTATCGACAACAGGATAAGCATTGAATTTCCGGACTGGTATGAAGAGATCGATAACGAATTGATAAGAGCTGACTGCGGAATAAATGAGATAGGTACATAAGTACAGGGTACCTATCTTCACCGAGCTCACCGAGAAGACCTGCCCAAATGCTGTATCACAGCACGCGCCTGCGTTTCAATGCCGTGCCAAGCCGGGGAAGAGAATAAAGACGCTAGCTCACATGACTAATAATACATAGGTACATTAATAGCTACTTGGTACCTTGGTACATGTAATAGGCAGACGTCATTGTTGAGCAGTTCTTACGGAAACCCCTGCAGCCACTTTATCAGGCGCAAGAGGGTCTTGATAACCTTATTGGCGTCTACAAACCTTAGCGGGGTATTTCAGTGAATGTTCCTTTTGAACGAGTCGACGAGCATATTGAAGCCAGAATTTCCATTCCGTCCCATCCCATATCAATACTTTTTCTTCACTGGAATATCATCGTCCTCCAAATACTCCAACCTAACCTTTTACGGCCAAGTTGTATCCTCTGTGTGTTAACTCTGAGACATCTCGTCTATCTGATACTCGATTCGCATATGCCGAACAACCTTACGTCCTTCAAAAGTATTGATAGGTAATATCAAATAAACAGATGTAAGTTGTTGTTTTTTTTGCCCCATGTCTTTTTCTAAGAAATCTATGAATACATATGCTCCTTGCGGCATGTTGCATACTCCAAACAGACCAGTCCAGCCAACTTCGCTTCCTCCCCATCGGTTCTGCGCTTTGCCTTATTTACATATGCTACCTAGATTTAAATTAGGTTGCAGCGACTGACACCCCATCGATTTAGTTCATGTGAGTAAATTTCACCCAACGAACCGTTTACTTCAAACCTTGAAACAGCTCCTGGTAGCTTCAAGTTCTTCTAGGCTGGAATTTCAAGCTAAGCCAAGAAATTCTCGCGGCTATACTTGCAGCGAACTGGGGCCAAGACTTGACCAGTCTGATCACAAGCTTACATAGGTGAGAAGAGGTGTGTGCAACATGTGCTTTCTTTGTATCCTAGCTGCTTTCATATCCGTCACGAGTCCAACACCAGACCCATTACTCATATTTATCACCAAGCCCATCATAAAGCGTCCATAGCCGACGAGAAAGTTACTGTCCTCATTTAAAACTTACACCATAGCACCACAACACCACAACACTATAACATTGCCCATTTACACTTCTCTCAATCTTATACCAAAGCATTCGCACCAAAGCTCAGTCAGCCCTTCAACGTTAGCTACTACCCAAGAATACCACCCCAGAAACTAGGCATTCTACTGTTGACGAGGTATAAGCCCCTCAACAAGCCACCATATTTCATTTTAACTCCGTTATTCCGTTAAAGACGCCCCTGTATAAAAGTCCTCACAAGCCCTCTCAGGTTTTCAAGTCCTCAAATCCGCAAGACTTATCATTCGACCTATAACATCTACTCCTAACATTATCCATCAAAAAGGTTTAGCAACACCCAATATCAACTCGTGGGATACAATGGAGGAATTGCCTATCGACCTCACTTCTAACCGTGAGGAGATGGTCAAGCTAAGCAACATAGAGCAGACGCAGCTCATCTTAGCCCGATTGATGGAAGGTGGTCAGGAAGATGACGATACTTGTCGCGAACTTGATCGCCTTACCAAGATGCTAAACGACGATACTAAAGCTAAAAACAAAGACCAATCTATCTGCGATATCATCGACGATGTATGTGTCGATACCATACTTGGCTATCTCGACATGAGACAAGCTGATTCGGTCCGTGGTCACGCCGTCTTGAGCGCTTCAGCGTATCTTAAAGCGGCCGGGGACAAAGGGAACGAGGCTCTTCGCAAGTTTTTTTTCGATCGAGTCCAAAGAGGGACTTATGACGACTATATCGTCGCCTTTTGTGTCGCCGCCGCTATATTCCCTATCGCCTCAGACGTAACGGCTGACATCTTCCTCAGCGAAGGCTTTTTACCCACCTTGGACCCCTTGATGCGACGAAAATGGAAAAGCAGAAAGGTCGAGACAGCATGTCTAGAAATGCTCAACGCTGCTTCCATGAATTCGTCGTGTCGCGAAGCTATTAATAAGTACTGCGCTGACTGGCTGGAAGAGGTTGTCGACCAAGATCCGAATGAATTAGCCAGGGGCATCTACACGGCAGACCCTCAGATTCAGGTCTCAGAAGGTTCGATTGCCATGAGGAGACACTCCGTAGCAGTTCAAAATCTGGCCGCGGTTATCTTGGCGAAATTGAGGGTAGGCACCCTAAAGCTTCCGCTCGCGTCACCGCCTGCATTCGAGCATCTTCAGTGGCGGTGACCGGCCCGGTGAGGATTGGAGTTGGGCTGACCTGGGGGCTTCAGGCAGTGCCATCGTCGGCGCAACAAACGGCAGAAGGATCCGATAGTAGAATACAGCAAGCGAACACCAGTATTGAGGACCTATCTAAGATGTTCAGTACGATGATACTGAAGGACCCGGAGAGTAACAAGCGGCATTCGGTGGAGGGCTTAGCTTACGCAACAATTCAACCTGGAATTAAGGAAGAGGTCGCACGCAGCACGGAGCTTTTGAAGGCTCTGGTCAAGATTTTAGGTGATGCTCCTGCAAAATCACCACTTACTTACGGAGCTTTAAGCATATTTACGAATTTAACTCGCTATCAACCAGTGCAATCTGAGGAGGAGAAGAAAATGACTCAGCTGAAGGCCTACGCCGATGCTGCTGGAAAGCTGGGAGCACCAAACCCACTGAACGATGACAACCACGTCACAGAGCGGTGTATACGGGTTTTCGAAGCCGGTATTGTACCCGTTCTAGTAACCCATAGTAGGCACGGTTCGGTTGCCTCGCTTAACCTCATCGTGTCGATTATCTCTGCATTGTCAGTTACAACCACCTTGCGGGGCCAACTATCGCAACAAGGAGCTGTTAACCTTCTTATTGCCGCCGCCTCGGCTCTACCAGATTCCGAATCGCAAGCCAAACGAACAGCAGCCCAAGCACTCGCTCGTATACTAATCAGCACAAACCCCGCTCTTGTATTCGGCGGCACGCGCGCTCGTCCACAGAACTCGGCAATCCGGCCACTCATTTATATACTCACTCCTGACCCTACAACCGAAACTCGAGATCTCTTACCGACGTTCGAGGCATTGATGGCGCTTACTAATTTAGCATCTACGGACGACGATACACGAGTGACAATTATCCGTAACGCATGGTCAGAGATCGAAGAGTTGATGTTATCATCCAACAATCGAGTTTCTAAAGCTGCTGTGGAATTAATATGCAACCTAGTGCAGTCCGTTGAGGGTATTGCTCAGTACGCGGACAATAGCCCACAAGCCGCTAATCGGCTGCACATTCTACTCGCACTTGCAGATGCAGAAGATGAAGGAACGAGGAGCGCCGCCGGTGGTGCCTTGGCCTCTCTCACGGCATACGACGCCGTTGTGACCGGAATTCTCAAAAGGACACGCGGGGTCGAAGTAGTCCTGGGCTTATGCAGTGAGAAGAGCGAAGATCTGCGGCATCGGGGAGCGTTTGTTGTGTATAACATGGTTGCGTGCGAAGGAGAAACAGGTAAGGCGGCACGGAAGGAGATCAGGGAGAAGAACGGAATTGAGGTTTTGAAGGAGTGTACGAAGAGTAGTCGGAGGGCCGAAGTTGTCGAGGTCACGGTTCAGGCTCTAAAGGTCTTACTTGAGCAACAGGATTCAGAGTAGCTGAAAGGGGGAGTCTCGTCGATTGTTGTGCGCTGCAAGATGTGTGTATGAAAGAAGTACTGAATATTCAGTTCGGAACTTTTTGGTCGGGTTGTCAGGTATCTAATACTTGGAACGTCCTAGTTTTTGGCACTTTCTTATATCTAATGTTAGTTATCGAATAAGTATTGCCCTGTTCAACCTTACGCCGCCGCGTAAACGTCCTCTATAAATGAAGCCCTTCTATAGTACAGTACCGAGTTCCCTAACACGAGTAGTTTAACCTCATATTTTCCATTTAAGACGTCCGTAGTAAATAGGTAGATGGATGGCCACCTAATATCAGAATACCTAGCCGTCCACCCGATTCAAAATAGCAACGCCCTCAACATGTCCCGTCTGCGGGAAGAAGTCGAAGCCGCGCAGACTTTCAATTGCATACCTTGTCCATCTCTTTTTTGGCTCTGCGGCATCTGTTTCCATCTCTGTCCCCGTCTCTGCGCTACCCGCACCCTCAAGCCCACGAACCAGGATACCGATATCGCGTGCTTGCGTGTGTACGTTACAGCTCACGTAGACGACACGGCGGGGCGCAAAGCGCAACAACTGGTTTAGGAAATCCTGATCGCAACCCTTACGCGGGGGGTCAAGCACCACGACGGTTTGATCGCCGGGGTATGCCTCGCGCACGGCGGACGTAAACAAGTCCTTGGCATCGGCGGCGATGAATTTCGCACGCGAAGGGGGGAGGTTATTTGCCGCGGCGTTACGGGACGCATATTTGATCGAGGCTTCGCTGATGTCGATGCCGACGCTTCCGCCGCTGAATAGGGAAGATAGGGTTATGGTAAAGAGCCCGGAGCCGGAGTAGGCGTCGATGAGGAATTTGATTTCAGGGGAAAGAGGGGAGGAAGGGGGGAGGATGTGCTCCCGGATGTAGTCTGTGAAGACGGGGAGGATGGAGTTGTTGTTCTGGAAGAAGGAGCCGGCTGGGTTGTGGAAGACGTAGGGCCCGACGTACTCGGTTGATGTGCCGTTGTTGTCTGTCACGCAGGTCTTTAGGTCTGTGTACGAGTCTGTCTCGACCCTAACAACAGAGTCCTCGGGAGGCGGGGGCGATGGTGATCTTGCATTCGCTCCTTTCGGTGAAGATGTTCCTTCGGCTTCGCTCTGTTTCTTCGGAATACGCTTGGTGCTTTCGCGCAGAAGAATCGTAGCGCCCCGTACGTATTTTCCGTACTCGACGGCCATACGTGCACGTTCATTTTTCATACCAAGACGTACAGCGTCGGTGCCAATAGGGCAGTCTTCAATATCTAAAGTGTTGCGCTTGCCCTTAGGCATAAAGCCAATAGGGGGGCAGCTCTTAAAGGGCTCCTTAGTTTTGCGCCAGCCCTGGGGGGCATCAAAGTGTGGTGTCAGCTTAGTTCGGTAGCCGTATTGAAGAGGACTGCCGATGGTGTCCTGGATAGCGGGGATAAGCTCTGGGGGTAGTTGGGAGAAGTTGCGGAAGGCCTTTTCGACGATGTTCTTCTTGTGCTTCAACTGCTCGGTATAATCTAGCATCTGAAATTGGCACCCGGAGCAAGTGGCGAAGTATTTGCACTGGATCCGGCTGTCGTCGCGGGAGGCTGACGGCGTCACGACAGAGAGGTAATCCGTCACGGTATAACCCTCTTCCTTTAGGTGGCGGTACACCTTCACCTTGACAGTGTCGCCTGGTACTGAGAATGGCACGACGTATACGCGCTTAGAGCCTTTATGTAAAGCTAGGCCCTCTCCTGTTGAGGCAAGCTCGACAACTTCGACTTCTATCTCGGAGCCTTCCTCCGGCAAGTTTTCGGTTTCTGGCTCTGGCGCGTTATTCCCTTCTTCTACCGCTCTATCATCATCTTGCTTGAGAGACTCGATTAGATTCTGCACGTCAATAGCTAAGACTTCCTCCGCTGAGCCAGTCTTCATGTCCGTTTCGCTTTTCTTCGCCTTTTTCTGTTTCTTCTTGTTTTCCCTTTTCATTCCTAGCTTAGACTTTTCATGATGGAACGGCCTTTTCCCGCGGTTGGGTCTTGACTCTTGATCTTGGTCACCCAATTTCACCTGTCTGTCTGATGAAGCCATTTTTTGCGAATTTGGAAATCCAATCATACGTATCATCTCAGCAGCGCTTATAGTATTGGTCCTATCCCGTCGAGACTTGGCTCTCTTATCAAATTGATGATGAAGACGTATACCTCTTCCAACTTCAGATAAGTGAGTGTGGCAATTGGCGAAGGCAAGGGACTGAAGTGAAAATTGCGACGAGCCAAAGACGGGATGGGTTGCGAGTTTGTTTCCTATAAATAACCGCGGCGTTATTGTTATACAGAGCCGCATTGATTCAATAGTTTGTTCAGTCGAATCTTCCCAGCTTATGGTTTATAGAAAGACTTGAGAAAAAATACTCGAAATTGTAAATTGACGATTTTTTACTGGATGAAAGATTGTACCATGTACCAAGTAGCGTTAGTTACATAATGATGCACTACGGTAGCTTATCGCGATTAGATACCCCACTCTATCTTTTTAAGGACTTCTACGAAATTACGAAATTACGAATAAGTCACATTTATTCAAGTACACAGTCTAAACCACACCTCCTATTAGAATTCGATAAATATTCCTATAGATTTCATACGGCTCCGCTCCCAGTATATAACTAATTTATACCATGCCTTGGACCACCGGATTCATTTGTGCCTGTTGTCCTACTAGCGTTGCGTCGTGATTTCCTCCGTCATGTGTGGGATGCGCCTTGTGGTGTCCGCCATGACTTCCATCGTGAGCATCCCCAGCTCTTCCGTGAGCAGTTCCGTGCGGTGGGTGGGCTTGATCATGCCTCGCAGGCCTTGCGGGTGCTTCTCTTGGATGGCTTTTGCTCGACTGCTCAACAGAAATTCTGTTAGTCATGACCTCTCCTTTAAAAACAGTCGATATGATAGGCACAAGTATGCCGGATACATATACTATGTACGTGATGTTAGGAATACATATGTACTCACTCCGAAACACATGATGTCCGATAATTTGTGTTTCTTAAATATATAATTTGTTGTATGGCTGAGTTGAAATCGATTACCGTCCGGGAGAGACGACAAGTTTATATCTATCGAGCTCTAGGCCGACTATGTCACAACAAAGCCTTCTATCCGTCTCGACGTCACGTCAAAGCGATGACGTATTTAATCGACACTCAACCTTGTGATACCTATGTATGTCTCAGTTCCATTATTGAGGCGTTACAAGACTTATACCCAAACGGCCGTGAATAACCACAGGGTTTGTCTCACAGCCTCAACATGGCGGCCGCTAGATGTCGCCAAGTGATATGATTACCCCTCATTAGACAAGTCTCGTCAGAAAATCGTTATCCTCTTAGGTAGGCAAAATACTGCGCCAGGCAACTTCATAAAGAGTGCTAATTGCTCAGAACTTGGCGAGAAGTTGTATTGAATAGCAAGACGAATATTTACGAGTACTGCACACATGTTTATAGAAAAGTCCATCCCAATAAAGTTAAGAAAGAAAGAGAGATAGGATAGTTTCCGTAGTAGTATCGTAACAGGTTACACATTGAAGCTTCAATTAGGTGAAGAGTTGCGCAGCTTAATATTCATATGAGTCTAAATAAGCCAATCTCGTGATAGAACTATACAGTATAATACTAATACTTTACTATACGATATACCTTTTTATAACAGCCCGACCTTCGACATATGGCTTAAATTGTAGCCAGTAGTGAGAAGAGCTGTAACGTATAAATAGGTGAAGTTCTTAGCATCCCGTCAATTACAGTTTTGAAATGAACCATAGACTTCTCTACTACGAAATAACACTGTCGAGTGTAATTTTTATGAGTGTCTGGATATAGTAGGTTGGTGAATGTTACAATTTAAAATATAGTTCTTTACAACGCTAGATATCTAGGCCTAGCCAGCCTAACGATTCATAATGAAGATAATACGAGGTAATATAGTTTCTAATGGTTAACGCGAAGGTCGCTTGATAGCTTTATACTTATTAAAAACCCCTATATAACTATTGTCGCTCTTCAATATGTGTTGCCCGCACTAGTACAATATCATAATCTTATAAGAACTTTACAAGTCTTGGATCTTGTATGAATCTATTCCTTCCTAGGAGGTATTAGATAAACCCATCTGACTTCCCGATATTGAGACTAGGAAAGTGCCCGGGCGTAATTGAAGGTGCGCGTCTCGGTGACTTCGGATGGTTTCCTGCGTAAGAATTACAAATCCGGGGCGCGATAGACAGGGGACGAGCCCCTAAAAATCCATGGCTATAATTCCTAGCTCATGTTAGCTTATTTGCCGTAAGCTGTACTCTACCGTATATTTCATCCCGTGTCGAGGTTTAGAAATGCAACAAAGAGATAGTAGCCCAGGTTAACTTATATAATATAGTTGGATATAAATTATAGATAAAGTTTAAAACACTACCAGACAATCATCTAACCGACCCGGGTATAATAGATTACGACATTTATGTAAGTCTGAGCTACGAGCTTGCTACGTGGTAGTGTGGTGGGGCTTTAAAGTATTAGACTACTATTACTAGTATTAAGCTTGTCGGACTGCTTATCTCGCTTTATAATCCGGCTTTTGCAACCTTGGTACAAAAGATAACTGCTAACCCGAGATTACCTCAAGATACCCGACGGGTACCCTAACCTCGTCGGAGTGTCGTTCTCTAATCGTCATCATCTATATTTCTTTCGTTCTCATTCTTCACATTATTATTATTATTATTATTATCATTCTATCATATACTAATGCGCTATCGTTGATAGAGGTGGTTATAATCACAGGGTACCGGTGTCTCTACCTAAGAGTACGCAAGCCTGTCGTATGATATGATGTGCCCTGAGAGTACCCAGTGTTAGATAGAGAGCACGGACGACGAATTGGGAGGATTGCAACATACCGAGTTCCGATCACAACATTTGTAAAGACTTTGCGAGATGAGTGAGTAGACATTTGAGTTGCATTCACTTAATTTCTTACCACCAAGTAACTGATATGGACCCCAAGTAACCCCTACAACACTCCCGCAGAGTCTTCTTCTGCTATTGCTTCTAGCTGTCGCCCCTTCAACCGCAGTCCCTTCACAATGGCAGCCAGCTGGACAAGTGGTGTTGCACCAGCAATCCGTTTCAGGGAAGCGAGGCGCTGTCGCTTCTGAGAGTAAAATCTGTAGTCAACTTGGTATCGACCTCCTCGATCAAGGTGTAAGTAGTACTAATTCATCAACATTCCCTTTACTAGACTACTTACAATTACATCATAGGGAAATGCCATTGATGCCTTTGTCGGAACTCAGCTATGTGTTGGTGTCATCGGCATGTATCATTCGGGAATCGGTGGCGGTGGATTTGGTCTCGTCCGGGACAGCAACGGCAACTACACCGTCATCGATTATCGCGAATCCGCTCCTAGCGCGGCTTTCGAGGATATGTATCAAGGTAATGTGATGGGCAGTGTGCACGGTGGGCTTTCCGTGGGAGTACCGGGCGAGCTGCGAGGTCTCGAATATGCGCATAAGAAGTTCGGCTTACTGCCTTGGAAGTCTGTTGTGCAACCAGCCGCCTCTGTTGCGCGCCGCGGATTCCCGGTTTCCGAGGATCTGGTACGTTACATGGAGTTCGGCCTCGAAATGAGCGGCTGGAATTTCTTGGTCGAAGATCCCTCGTGGGCTCAAGACTTCGCTCCGAATGGTGAGAGCTGCCAGCTTATATGTTTTTCAGTAGCCAAGGCATTGTGTAGCCATTATGGCTAACCATATTGATAGGGGCTTTGGTAAAGTTAGGTGATACCATGACTAGAAAACGCTATGCAAAGTAAGATGATCAAGCATGGAGACACCTAACTAAGCACTCTCGAAATTTACTAATTTCCAATTTAGGACCCTAGAGCAAATAGCTGATTATGGTGCCGACGCATTCTATACCGGCCCAATGGGTTCGTAGAATTCCACCCCCCCCTTCTTCGATACAAAGTATTCTAATCTTTTCCAAGCTGAGGCGACGATCAAGCACATCCAGAAATACAATGGAACCATGACCCTAGAAGACATGTCTAACTATGAGGCCATCATCCGTGAGCCCGTCAACATCTCGTACCGCGGCTTCAAGCTTTTCTCGTCAGGCGTACCCAGCAGCGGCGCCGTCTGTCTCAGCACACTAAAGACGATGGAGGGCTACGACGCTTCGGACGTAGCTGCTGACCCTAATGTCACGCTCCACCGCTTCGACGAGTCGATGCGTTTCGCGTACGGCGCCCACCAGGCCCTCGGCGACCCGGCCTTCGTCTCCGGCATGTCGCCGCTCGAGGAGACTATGCTGGACGATGCGCATGCCGAGTCGATACGCCGGCGCATTCGCGACGATAAAACACAACCTATTGAAAACTACGACCCGCCGCGTATCTACGTTCCCGAAAGCCACGGCACCTCGCACATCTCGACGGCGGATTCCTCGGGTGCCGCCGTATCGTCTACCACCACTGTTAACCTACTTTTTGGTAGCTTGCTTATGGTCCCCGAGACAGGCGTCGTACTCAACGATGAGATGAACGACTTCTCTATCCCTGGCGTACGTAACGAGTTTGGCTACGCACCCAGCCCAGCCAACTACATCCGTCCGGGGAAACGTCCACTCTCCTCCATCACCCCCGTCATCGTCGAGTGGCTCGACGCTTCCACCTCAACCGCCATCCCGCTCCTTGCAGCCATCGTTGGTGCTGCCGGTGGATCCCGTATTATCAGCTCGACGACGCAAGTTTTATGGCACATGTTAGAGCGTGGGCTCTCCGTAAACCACGCCGTAGCCGTACCGCGGTTCCACGACCAGTTGATGCCGAACCAAGTCGTCTTCGAGTATACCTTTGACAACACGACTGTGGCCAGCATGTTAGAGAAGGGACATAACGTGACGTGGGTGCGCGAAGGGTATAGCGCCGTCCAAGCCATTAGCGTCGATGAAGATGGTGTGTTTGAGGCTTCAGGCGAGACAAGGCAGAGAAATAGTGCTGGGTTGACCTTGTAGACGTTTTCCTACTGCCTACCTGCTATACGTTAGGTTTGGTACCTATATACGTTACCGTGTGTTTTTGATAGAGTTACGTTATGATATAACTACCATTTATAACTTACATTATTACCTAGATAAATATTGATCCAAGTCTTCAAAATCGTTGGTATAAGACTCATAAAGTTAAGGCTGGAACGAATTACGTGAATAAAGATGTATTCCATAGTTATACCGGCTCGTTTTTGCTTAACCTAACTTATGGTATCCTCTTCGTTTCCGCATCCACCCTTAACTCAACGCGATGAAACGAGATAATACAACGCACCGCAATATAAAAACAAGGTAATATAAACTCCGAGCCCGCCTCCTACCGTGATAATCCTGGGGGTATCGGATGTAAGTCTATATCTATCTGGGTAGTAGGAATATTGGTAGTGATAATAGTACCATTTTTTGAGAGGAGAATTGGTTAGGGCAGTGGTAATGAATAAAACGAATATCGTTTATAGCTTCAAGGCGACGAGCTTCTCTAGCTCCGCCAACCATTTCCTGGCGAACTCTTCCTCAGTGAAGCGCTTAGATGATAAGCGCGCTCTGCGTCTGACGGAAAGGGGGTCGGGGTGCGAGAGCGCCTTCTCGAAACCCTCAGCGAACTCTGACGTGGTCGAGGCGTGGAAACCTAAGTGAAGTTATTAGCTAAAAAACACAATGCAAGAAATACTGCAATTGACATACCCGTAGGTTGGCCATCAACATCAGTGACAATGTCTAACTTCGGACCACCGCTGTTATGCACGACTGATATTAGACCCGCCGCGAGGTACTCGACTACGCCGATGCCGAAGTGCTCGTTCCACATGCCATTTACGCCTACGAAGGCCTTGCCAAGCCATTGGAGGATCTCAGACCACGGAGCGTCCAGCTGGAATATTACCTGGTCCTTGATTTGCAATTCATTGACTAGCAGACGAAGCTTGTACACGCGCCTTGAGTCATCGTCGCCCCTAACACTACCCAGGAGGACTAATTTGGCTTCTTTTGCTGAGGGAGTACCGGTCTTGACGAATTCGGCAAAGGATTGCAGGATGAGTTGGTGGTTCTTTTCTGGCCGGAACTGGGCAATGTATACTAAGTACTTCTGGCGTCTCTTCTCGCTCTCTTCAGAGATTTCGACGGCTCGCTCTATCTCATTGACGGCGCACGGAGGGTACACAACAGCAATAGAGTTCTCCCTGCCTCTCTGATTTCGGCGCGGCCCCCATAGAGACTTAATATGGTCTTGCGTCCAGGAGGAATTCGTCATGACAACATCGACGGAAGCCCCCATCCACGAATAAATAGCGGCGAAGATCTTCCAGTAGTGTTTTTTCAGTATACCTTTAACACCAACCCCCTTCCCGGCATTGACACCCTGACCTCCAACTGGCGTTTTAGGGTCGAGGGAGTCGAGCATGTCTGTGGAAATGGTAGGATAGTGTACATATGCAGCAGTTGGCATATCGGGGAAGAGGGTCTTGCTTAGACCAAGTACGAAAGCGTAGCCCATAGTATCCACGAAGATGTCAGGTACTAGGAGAGAAAAAGCATCCATTCCCATAAGTATAGAACCAACTGACTGCCCTAGCAAAGTCATATGCGGCCATGTAGAAGACAAAACCCAGTGTCGAGTTGTTAGGTAGATGAAGTGGATCGTAGGCGGGTGAATGTCGATACTGAAAGTGTTCTATGGTGCAATTAGCAATCTTGATTGCAAGTTCATTATATAACAGGAACCCCAAACCTTGACACGAGAGAGCATGCTCTCCTTTGAAACATCGTGGTCGCCCGTATATATAACGATCTTGGCGTTAGGCCATCTCTTCTGGGTAGCTCGAACCGCAGCCCATAGGACTCGTTCGCCACCTCCTCCAGCATTGCAGAAGGGATGGAAGAAACCGACTATACCATCCCAGTCTCGGTCGCCTTTTTCCCCGTTGCCGGACGTTCCAGCTGTAGACCCATCGATATTCTCCCAACTCTCGTCATCGTCGCTGCTAGCACTGCCGTCTTTTCCTTGAGCTTTGGCATCTCTAAATCTAGCTTCGCTTTCGGCTGTGGTGCGGACAAGTAAGGAGCGGCGGCCTTCTGAACCCTTCCTCAAACACCAACCGAAGGCCGACCCGGCCGTCAGGGCGAATATACGGAATAAGAGTGGAAGGATGAAGTTCCAGAATATTAAGGCGGCGAAGGGAGTACAGGCGATGGCAATCGCTGTAAAGGCTAGAGTCTTGGGCTCCATGCCGAAGGAATATGGTACGTCTTTGGAGGGAACGGAACAGCTTGAGCTGGAGGTGAACTCCGACATTTGCCTAAAGACTGGCGAAGAAATATTATAAAAGGTATGTGGTTTATAAGCCTAGGCACACGTGTCAGGAAGACAATACCGGTCTGGCCTCTTCAGACTGGGCCAGAAGCAGTCCAGTTGACCCATTGATATGACCTAGTAAGGTATTGTGGTGTTGCAAGTCGCACGCTCGTGAATTTATTAGTTAGGTACATATGTGCCTTGGTTTGTGGTAATTACCTAGGTATATTTATAATTTGGCGTGTGATCAATCGGCCAAATGTATAATTTGATACGTGTGACAAAGTGACCGAGTGACCGGAATAGCTGTACTTAGGCCTAGGTACCTACCTAACCTAGTACCTAAGCTCTGGAAGGTAGTCCCTTGGGCACTACGCACTAGCGCATCTCATCCCACCTTCCTTCCACACATAATCTAGCGCGGGCTGCTGCATATTCTTTATCGATAGAGCTACTGTAATTTTCTTTTATCCTCATTCCATTTAGGTACAATATGTACAAGGTCATGTACTTAGTAATTCCCGATGTCCTCAGAACATTATGTATTCTATAATACACCTAAACTAAGAGCATTGTAGACAGCACGTTGATTATTTCTGGATTTCTGAATCTACCTAGGTAGCTTTGAGAAGCTATTTGGGGTATGGTATTATATTCTATGCATGTATGAAAAGCTCAATGGCTTCAAAATCATTTTGCATATGATGTTCATTTTCTCATAAGCTCTCTTCCTACTATTCCATTCATGAACCAATAAGGGCTTATAGTAATCGACGATGAACTTGATTCATTGGACTCATACTATACGGGCACCTACGCCCTTTGGCCTAGTATCAAGGACCAGAACTCAACTATACCCTAATCGAGTCTCACCCTATCACTTTAGACATCAACCCAGTGTTAGGTCATTCCATCTTGCACCAACCGCCGCCACTGTTATACAAACGGCCCAGGATACCTTACTAGCTATCCATAGTCTTACTCACACACCATGGTTCCTGACGATTCCTCTGGCGGCAGTTGGAGTCAGCCTCGCTTTTCGGCTACCCTTCAACGTCTATATACATAAGATCAACCAACGCCGGGCTAGATTCACTCCGGTCCTTATGGGATGGACTGCGCGTATCTCACGGGATGTTAAGCGGGAAGGAATTCCATCGTCGCGGGAGTCGAAGGAGTTATTGGCGAGACATAAGAAGCTAGCATCGAGGATATACCGCACCGTCGGCTTACAAGACTGGAAACTATATTCCAGCGTCCTAGGTCTACCCTTCTGGCTCATCGGCATCGAGAGCGTCAGACGGATTTGTGGTGGTCCGAGGGGAATTATCGGGCAGCTGTTCCTGGGTAGAACTGAAGATGTTGCAGCTTCAAATACTCAAGGCAACGTAGAAATTCCGGTAGATCCAAGCGTGACTGCTACCACGGCCGAGCATGTCAAAAATCTACCAGATCTAAGCATCACGTTAGAGGGCTGCCTGTGGTTTCCCGACCTGTCCGCTCCTGACCCATACCACATTCTCCCTTTTGCACTGTCCGCTTTGCTAGTCTGGAATATGCTCCCTAAATCCAAGGCCGGGTTGCAACAGCTAGCTGGACTCAACCCTGGGGATAAGGTTGTAGTCGAGACCCCAGCAATGATGAGGCAACGTAGACTCCGTCGAGTGCTCATCGTCTTAAGTGCTCTCATAGGACCTATGACTGCAGACCTTCCGGCAGCGCTTCACCTCTACTGGCTGTCAACGAGCGCCACACACACAGTTACGAGCAAGGCATTGTCCAAGTTCATGCCAATTGACACGAATATTGTTCAAAGGTGTGTAGGTTATGAGGCCGATGTTATACGACCAAAACGAATCGAGAAAGCAGTAAAAGCTACAAATTAGGCAAACATGGATTTTGAAGCCACCAGTTCGGAATGGGACTCGTACCAACTGCACAGCAATTTATTGGAAAAGCCACCAATTCATAAAATTTGCCTTTTCGGCAATGCATTTGTAATTACCTGCTTACACCTATGTGAATAGTCTCGTGGTTTGGCAGTCCAAATGTTGATTAAACTCCAAATATAACTGGTTATAAACACCAAAGCCATCCTCATAAGAGGTATGGTTACTTGCTACCCATAAACCGCAAAGGAGGGAACAGATATCTCTGAGTCACCTCAAGGGACGGCCAATTCTTATTGGCCATCGCTAACACAATCCTGATACACTTAATGAGAAGTTCGAACTTGCTCACGCTAACTCCAAAACGCCCGAGATGTCGCTCGTACACCGTCAAATTGCTAGAAGATTTGACTCATCCCAAGAATACAGCCAAGAGGACGATCGCCATAATCACGGCTAGGATCAACAGCAAGCAACATGCCTTGCTCCGGGCATTCTTCTGATATCTTGCAGCACTTCTCAACTCGTAGTCGGCACCGCGGGTATCGTCGCGAATATTAACAGCATTGCTCTCAATCGTCTCTAGCACCTCACCCTGCTCGCTGACGATCTGCGCCACTTGCTGGAAAAGCACATTGAGATCACCAACACCTTCCTCTATCTGGCGGATTTCCTCCTCTCGCTCGGTAATTAGGGCCTCTTGGAAATCAACTTCGTCCTGGGGAGCCAGGTGGACTTGTTCCTGCTGCTGAAGCTGTAGTTGCTCGCCGGTGGCGTTAGACGGGGCGCCCTCGCCAGATGAATCATGGTCGAGTGCCGCCTTGGCTGCGCTAACCGAGGCTCGTTGTTTCTCGAGGGCGGTGCGCTGAAGGTTTTGGAATTCGCTGAGGGCAGCCTTGAATTCGCGCGACAGCTTCTGTTGCGAATACTTCTGGGTAGGCTACGAGGCAAACAAAAGTTAGACATATGTCACATTAAATAGGTAGACATGGTCGACCGCATCATTCGATTTACTTACAGTAGGCTCTTCCCATGTCTGAATCTTCTTGATACCTTCACCAACCTCCTTGAACTGCTCCGTAGACTCCTCAATTACAACGTGGACCCGCTCGCGCAATCTGGGGTTGTCCCGTCGAGTGCCAAGGAGACCAATATCCGATTTCAGCTTTGAAATATTACCCTGTAGATGAAATAGTTTGTTCATAAGGCCTTGCGATAATCGAGAGAACTCCGGGTCATCCGCGTAGGCGCCATTATTCTGGCGACGACCAGCCCCGCTGCCGGATTCTATTGACGATAACTGATCGAAAGACATGGCTGGACGGTTCTGGATTAGAGAGAACGACGAGATTTAATAAAGGAAATCTTGATGAATTAAAGAGAGATTGGTCCTGAAAGGATCGAGTATTTAGATGGTACCTACTATGGGCACGGATAAGATGAGAAGGGTTGATGTCAGTCAGGATCACCTGCGACGGATTGCGCAGGTACAAGTGCAGGTCACGGCAAGGCAACCGAATTGGGGATTCAAGATTGGAGTTACACATGCGTCTGCTTATGTCAGTCTGCACTACTACAGGTACACTAGCGCTGGTAAGTCATGGATATGATATATTTGTACAAACCGAGGGCCCCCCCGTAAAAGGAACCATAAAAGCCCGATTTTTAGCAAGGCTTAAGCTCTTTCGAACTTTACTTGCTATAATTAAATATTTAGGTATATATTTACGTTTAAATTAAAAAATGGGCTAATATATTACGTTATTATTTAAAATTATAATTTTATAATATTATAATTATAATATTATAATGTTATAATGTTATAATTATAAAAAATAATAAAAATTTAATTATTAAAACGTTATTTTTAATTTTATATATATTATATTTAATTAAATTTATTAAATTTTTTAATTTTATAAATTATTTCGCAAAAATAACCGTTTTAATATTATTTATAAAAATAAAATAATATATATTTAAATAAAATAAATAATTAATTTATAATAATAATAAATAAATAAATATTAACAATTAAAAATAATATATTACATAACGTAAAAATATATTTAATAAACTTTATTTTATTAATTTTAAACTTTATTTTATTATTTTTTTACTAATATATTTTGGCATATGTTAAAAATAAAATTAACTATAATAATAAAAGTTAAAAAAATTAAAAAAAAATAATTATTTACGTATATAAAAATAATTAAATGTTTAAATTATATAAAAATTAATAATAATTAAATATAATTAATTATTATTATTATAAAATTATTTTTTAATAAAATTATTTTTTATTAAAATAAAATAATTATTTTATAAATAAATAATATATTAAAATTTTATTAATTTTAACTTTTTAAATTTATAAATGTTATAAAAAAAGTTATAAAATAATACATTTTAAAAAAAAAATTTTAAAATTTATTTTATTATTTTATATAATTTAATTTTTTAATTAAAATTTAAATTTTTTAAATATATAACTTTTTATTTAAATAAAAGTTAAATATTATTAACCGTTATTTAAATAAAATTATTATTATAATAATAAAATTAAATATAATAATAATAAAAAATAATAATAAAAAGAAAAAAAAAATAATAATAAAAAATAATTTAAAAAAATTAAAAAAAATAAAAAAAAAATAAAGATTTATATAATAATTAAGTAAATAATATTAAAATATATAAATTAATAATATTATTATTAAAAAATAAATAATTATTACAAAAAAATAATAACTATTGTAAAAAAATAATAATTATTATAAAAAAATAATAATTATTATAAAAAAATAATAATTATTATAAAAAAATAATAATTTTTTCCCGATATTAATTTATTATAAAAAATAATTAACGTAATTTTTTAATATAATAAAAATAATATAATTAAAAATTTATATAAATTTTTTAAATAATATTAATAAATTAAATAATAATTTACATATTTATTATATAATTTTAAATATAATTTTATTATGTTAAAAATTTTTTTAAATATATTATAATAAATTTATTAAATATAAAAATTAATAAAATTAAAAAAATTATTATATTATATTAAATATATTAAAATTATACGTTTTTTACATTATATAATATAATTTAATATTTAAATAAAATTAAATTATTAATAATATTATTATTATATTTAAAATTAATTTTTTTAAACTTTATAACGCGTAAATTTATTATAACGTTATTATTTTAACCGTTATTATTAATGGTAATAAAAAATTATAAAAAAAAAAGATAAATTTACTGTTAAAATTATTAAACCGTTAATATTTTTAATTAATATATTTATTATTATTTTTATTATATATATAATTATATAAGTTAAAATTTATAATTTAATTATTAAAAAAATAATATTAATAAATATTATTATTAATTATTTTATTATTTTTATTATTTTTATTATTTTTATTATTTTTATTATTTTTATTATTTTTATTATTTTTATTATTTTTATTATTTTTATTATATATATTATTATATAAATTAAAATTTATAATTTAATTATTAATAAAATAATATTAGTAAATATTATTATTAATTATATTATTATTTTTATTATTTTTATTATTTTTATTATATATATTATTATATAAATTAAAATTTATAATTTAATTATTAACGAAATAATAATAATAATTTTTATTATTTTAAAATAAAAATTGCTTTTTTAAAAGTAAATTTGAATTTAATAAGTTAATATAAAAAAGTAAAAGTAAAAGAATTTAGTTTAAAAGTATATTTTTAATTTAAATTTAAAAATATATTATATTTTTTATAAAAAATAAAAATTTATATAAACTTTTTTTAACTTTATAAATTATAATAATATTTATATGAAAAATAAATTAAATAAAATAAATAAATAAATATTTTCAATAAATTTTATATAAATTTTAACATTTAAAATTATAATATTATTTTTTTATTTTTTTAAAAATAATATAAATTAATTTTAATATATAATTAATTAAATAATATTTATTTTTATATTTTTTAAAAAATAAAATAATTTTTATATTTTTATTTTATAAATAATAAATATTTTTATAAAACGCCATTAAATTTTTTATATTATTAATTTTTATAAAACTAATATATAACCTTATTATATTTACCCGATATTATTAATTTATAAAATTAAAAATTATATAAATACGTTTTAAAATAATATAAAAATTAATAATTTAATAAGTTTAATTATAAATTAATATTATTTGCCAATTATTATCGTTTAACCCTGCAATATAAACCGGTTAAAATATAGCTACTTTTTATTAAAAAAAAAATAAATTACTATAAAAAATATTTAATAATTAAAAGTTAATATAAATAAATAATATATTATAATTAATTAATTATAAAAATAAAAATAAAAATATATTATTTTATTATTATTTATATTATTATAAAAATAATAAACTAAATTAATAAAAATATTATTATTAAAATAAATAATAACTTTTTATTTATTAAACTTTTTTAAATATAATAAATAAATATAATTAAACTTTTTACTATTAAACTATTTATCGATTTTTTTTTAATTTTTTATTTTAAAAAGTTAAATATTATCAATTATAATATAATAAATATAAATAATTAAATTATAATTAAAACTTTTATTAAAATAAATAAATTATAATAATAAATTATTTTTATTTCCATAATTAAAATATTTAATAATAAAAATATATTAAAAATTAATAAAATTAAAAAAAAAGGTTATATATAATAATTTAAAACGTATATTTATTATAAAATTAATATATTATAAATTATTATAATAAAAAAAAAAACTATAAAAAATATAAAAAATAATATAATATTAAAATAAAATTATATATTTAAATTAATATATTAAAATAATAATATATTAAATATATAATAATTAATTAAAATAAAATATTAATTTTAATTAAATTAAAATAAATTATATTATAAATATTAAATAAAATTAAATTTATAATAAATTAAATTTATTATAAATAAAAATCCTTTTTTATTTTTTTAATATTTTACTTTTTATCTTTTTTTTTTTTATAAATAATTATTTTTTTATTAAAAATTTAATTTTAACATTTTTATTTAAACAGAAATAATTTAAGATTTTATTTAAATAAAAATAAATTAAAAAATATATTATTTTTTATATTATTATTATTTATATT